TTTATTAATATTTTTAGAAATATAATAATTAAGAAATTAACCTTAATTTATTTTTGAATTTAAAATTCCCTATTATTCATTAGGAATATGTTCCTAAGTTCTTAGTCTCCCATATAGATATACTGATCTGATCTGATCGTGTTATTCAAATGATATATATATCTTTAAGAAGTGCTTCAAATAAATTTGCATAAATAAATAGTGTATAATTCTTATTCTATAGGGTATTTGAGAGTTATATTCAAATGATACAGCTTATTGAGGCTTTGCGGTTTCTCGGAACGCTCCTTATCTATAAAGCAATATTTACACTCTATTAACCATTTAACCAGAGTTAAGCAGCAATTTGACTTGTTGAATGTTAATTATGCATTAATATAGCATGATTAGGCTTAACAGCAATAAATCTGCTTAGAATAATAACTGTTGATAAGCAGGAAGAGTAGAGCTACAATAATTTTCTCATATACAAGCTCAATTCCAATTCAACTCCTATTTGAATCTATCCCTTCAATACTTCAATTCTTCAATAATTCAATAGTTGTAAGTGTGATTATCGGCGCTGATTGTTAATGCATTACAAACGTCTTGTTGAATACGTTATACCCAACTCAGTGGAGACCAATCGCCGCTTGCTGTTAAAAGCCTTTTGGCAGTTTTTATGTTTATGCTGGGGCGCGGTTCGGCAAAAACTTTTCGCTTTTGGCCAAACAGCCAAAGTCTGACTTTGCACTGGCATACATTTTATGCACTTGCAATCAATTTGCGCACATAAATTTCTACCCCGCAGCCACGACGTCTACCCGCCCTCTGCCCCTTCCCTGTGTGGCGCATCTTGTGCACGTCTGCGACATGACCAAATAAAAGCTAAAAGCAAGCATAATGGTGGCTGCTTACAACCCTTTGCTGCAGCAAATAAAAATTTATGAGCCAAAAGTCAAAGTGGCGGGAGGGCAGCAGAGAGAGAACGACACAGCGAGAGAGAGAGAGAGAGAGAGAGAGAGATAGACAGAGAGAGGGAAAGTAAGAAAAATGAGAGCAAATAAAATATTGGCTAATAATCGCATAATAATACCAAAAGGATTCGCATTTTGGCTCAACTCAGCTGAAGCATGGGCATTACGTGGCCATGCCCAAGGGACTAACACACACCAACACACCCACACACACTGTAATTTGTATGCGACCACATTGCGTATACGCAATCCACTTGCTACGCACTGCTAAAACCATTTTCACTTTTTGCAGCTCTGACGCAACTTTGTGGCATTATTGACGAATGGGGTGGAGTTGCGTCTGTGCCGGGGAGGGGTGGTGGGGTCTGTGGGTTCGCCTTCGCTACTTCGGCATTAATAATGACAACTCGTTTACTGCCCCAGCGGCAAACACTCATCAAAATGTAGCTCAATGTCTGACTTAGTGCGGCGAAAGCAAGCACCAAAGCCGGCGCTTAAAGTTGCCTCTGTCCCTCGTCAGCCCTCAGTGCCTCCGCCACCTAATTGTTGTGGCAAGTGTATCAAATAAAATGTTACCCCTGTGGCAGCTGATAAGCCCTTGTCTGCCCTGCCTGTCTCTCAGTCCGTGCGCTAAACCAGCTCACAACTGCAGAGAGTTGCGAGCTGTGAGAGTTGCGTTTAAGTGCAGCTGCCCCCGCTCCTCCTGCTCCTCGAGCTCACCCTGCTCACCCTACTTCCACCTGCCCCGCCTGCCGCTGTTGCAAGTTGAGCGCTCTTAAAAGTTATATACGCAGCCCTATTATATTGTACATAATATCGCACTTCACGGAGCCTAATGACTTTGTCATCATTTTTGGCACTTAGCCGGCTTTTTGGCGCTGTAAACATGGCTAATACCGGCTTAAAGTAGATGCGGAGGATGCGCTCTTTGCATGCAGCTTAAATGAGACTCGCAACTCGTAATTGTTATAAAATGTACAGTGGGCTTACATAAAACTGAATTCACTTACAAGGGCTGTCGGTAATATCTCATAAGTTTACGAATTTTCTCTATGTAATGCTGAAAGAGCATAAAAGATTGTATGCTTCATAATATTTTGTATATAAATGAAGATTACGATATTTTGTATTTAGGCATAAATATCATTAAATAGCGAACTGACAAAAAAGTCTTCAAAGAGGCTTTTTAACTGAGGTCTCATACGTTTTTATACCCTGAACCCATTTTCAATGGGAAATCAGGGTATAATGGTTTCGTTGAAATGTATATAACAGACAGAAGGAGGCGTGGCAGACCCCATAAAGTATATATATTCTTGATAAGAGCGACGGGCTGAGTCGATTTAGCCCTGTCCGTCTGTCTGTCCGTATGTCAATTTCAATTTAAACTTCAGATATAAGAGCTAAAAACTTCAAATTTTTTTTTCAAATGTCGCTGTATACGCAGCGCGGATATCGAGTTTATCTCATTTTGTTATCGATTAAAAACATTATGGAAATTCAGTAATAAAATTATATCTGCAACATCTTTGAAGTGTAAAAGGCGTATTACAAATACTAGACACTTGTACATTTCAATGTTATAATCATGATATGGAAGTTTAATAAATATACCACCCGTCGAATGTCATATCATTCAGCTTATGTCATGCAGTCTCAACACATTTAGTTTCTGGCATAAATTCACTAGGAACCTAAATTAAGAGTTTATATTTTTGTGAATCATATTATGTTTTCTATTTCGTGAGCAATGAGGATGAATTCCTCTACAAGCTTCCATAGTATTCAGTACCTTACACCGAGTGTCGTAGCATTCAGCTTTTGTCATGCAGCTGCCTTAACTCAAGTTTCACGCAAATATGATCAATATTTCCAAATTTCTCATAGATATCGATAAATAGTTATCGAAATTGATATAAAGTTATAGAAACCGATAAACTGTTTACGAAATCGATAAACGGTTATCGAGGAGTGTCGTAGCATTCAGCTTTTGTCATGCAGCTGCCTTAACTCAGGTTTCACGCAAATATGATCAATATCCCCAAATTCGTCATTTATATCGATAAATAGTTATCGAAATCGATAAATAATTATCGAAATCGATAAACAGTTATCGAAATCGATAAATAGTTATCGAAATCAATAAATAGTTATCGAAATCGATAAATGGTTATCGATAAATAGTTATCGGGGAGCGTCGTAGCATTCAGCTTTTGTCATGCAATCTCAAATCATTTAGCTTCTGCAATAAATTCGCTAGAAGATCAAAGCTATTTCTGTGAATCCCGTATATGTTTTCTATTTCATGAGCAATGAATTTATATTATTCAGTCTTTGGCATTGATGCATTGAGTCTTGTAGCATTCAGCTTTTGTCATGCAGCTGTCCTAACTCAAGTTTCAAGTTTTGTCTTTGTCACATTCGCTAGAAGAGTTGGCCCACAGTTTCAGAGGCATTCATGGGACCTCAGAATGTCGCATATCCCCTTTATATAATTTGAAAAGTAAATTTATGCATCTCTCAATATTATTGTTATCAATTATCATAGCAGCTAAAGAGCCGCTTAAATCAAATCAGTTGAACGAAAATACCCTTTAGCCAAATTCAAATATGCTTGACATGATTATAGAGCTTAAGTCGCGTAATCTCTTTACTTTTATCTTCACACAGGAATACCCCAAATAAACGATGCGAAACTGTTCAAACATAAGCTCTTCCATAAATGCGATTTTTTATATCATTACTGTAGCAGCAGCAGCAGCAGGAGTAGCAGGAGCAGGAGCATTTGCTGCGATTCCCTTAAGACAAATGTCAATGCAGCTTGTTGCGAAGGGCTAATAAAATAAAGCTGATCATTCGCTATATATGTGGGCCAGCTATAGTTTCCTTTTTATAGGTCTGGGCTTTGTGTATTCCCTATATAGGTTTTTGTGGGTTGCTTTTTGCTTCTTTTATGCAGCGTGTGGCAAGTGTAGGGCGAGTGTGTTGCATATCTTTGCGCAATTGTTGTTCGTGTTCAAGTTGTTGCTGTCTTGCTCTTGCGTTTGTTGTTGCACCTGCTCACTGCAACTTGCAACTTTTAACGGTTTGCTAACTGTTGATAAGACCCAAAACTTGGTAACTAGTTTATGTTTGTTTATATACTCGTTCAGCTGTTGTAGAGGAAGAGTATATTGGTTTGTGGGGTATGTTCCCTTGGTTGTCTATAAGATTGGCTATCAGAGTGTCATGATTATAACTATATATATATAGATTATATATGGAATAGCTTAGATTTAATTGGCAACTTTTATTTGACCACTTAAAGGCGTGGCATATTTTTCACTGCCTTACAGCTGCAGTTGTCAAATTTAAGTGCTGATATTCCTTAACAAAGAACAAAACAAAAAACTCTAAAGCTCAAGAAGGTATTTTGTTTCACTACATGTAAAATTTCGTGTAAAGAGTTTCATTTAAGAGAACTTTAAAGAAAGAAAGATGAAACAAAAAACAAGACGGACATGCACAAAATCCATATAGTTGCTCTGCGTGGTATTACACAGTCGTGTATGCCCAATTATGCCACCTTTTTCGCGCAGCTACTTGCGCCGCTATTTTTGTTTTGCTCATTTGGCCGCCTCTCGCTAGCAGCTCGCAGCGCTGACTCTTTAGTGGCACCTTAATTAGAACGCAGCCACATCAGGCTCTGCGCCTGTATTTCCCTTCTCTGTTGCTATCTCTCTCCCTCGCTGCCACTCCCCCTTGCCCTAGTCATGCAAATCGTTGTCTTGTTTACATTTTTAGCCATGAATTTTTGATGGCGTTTGAGCTTAAGCTTTAAACTCGCTTTCTATTTGTATGTGTGTGCGGCATGTAGAAAGCAAAGCGGAAAACACACATTACACAATACGCACACCCATATATATACACACACACACACATAGACAGACAGACAATATGTGTCGTGCCCCATGCGGAAATCACTAAAGGCATTTCCTGTCGCAGCGCCAACAAATGCTGTAAAAATCATGAGAGCAGCACGCAGCTAACATTATGCCGCTACGCTACCTATACTTGGACATATCTATATATGTATGTGTGTGTGTAATATATATATACATAGATAAGCTGAGCACGATAAACGTGCTTAGCGCTGAGCCGAGGTCAATGGGTCGGCGCTTTAAACAGCAGCTGCCTCGGCTGCTGGCAAATGTCAGCCATACTTGTCATAATATGCCCACACTATGCCCAGCAGACACACACACGCACACCACACACATAGCTACTCACACACACACAGCTAGCAAATGCCGCAACACTTTGGCGCAAGAAAAAAATTACAAGACGCAAGACTTTGTCCTATGCATGTGCCTGTGTCTATGTGTGCGTGTGCGTATGTGTGTGTGTGTGTGTGGCATATTTCTAAAAGATGCTCACACACACACACACACAGAGAGACTCCTGCAGCGCAGCCATGCAAAATATGCCCACATTAAATAACTTCAATCTACTCTAAAGAACTTGTTTATGCTGCTGCCCACATCCTACCACGCCCCTTCTGCCAGAATGCTGGCTCATGGGCTGGCGCGCTATTTGACATCTTAGCCAACAGGAATTTATATGGGAATCTGCTTTGAAAGTGTCTGTGAGCATGTGTGGGTGTGCGTGTGTGTATGTGTTGGGGCTTTCACTCTGAATAGTTTGTTTATCCTTTCATTTTTTTCTTCTTATTTTTCCTTTTTATTTTTTTTTTTCTTTTTTGCTTCAGCTTCATCAGGTTCTTTGAGCAGCTGCTTTTTCTTGTCAATTTCTTCATCTCTTTTGGCTTTATCGCTTGACTTTGGCTTCTGCTTGGCTCTGATTTGCATTGTAACACACCAACATATGTATACATATATATATATGAATGTATATGTGTGTATAAACTATATAATATTTGGACTTCGGAGATCTTATTGCAATCTCTTTGCTTTGCTAATGGATTTGAGTGAGCTGACCAAGAGCAATGGAAATCTGGCCAAAGGCGACACATCCGAATGTAAATTGTAATATTTTTTTTCCTCTTTGTTGTAGTTGGCGCTCAAGTCAATATTGATATGAAATAAGCGAGTGAAGTGCAGGCAACGAGGGTGGCTTGAGCAGTATGGTAAGGGGAGCATATGAAGAGCAAATGGAAATTTAGCTTTAGGCTAAATTATATAAAGGAAAATGTTTTTATTGAATATTTATATGCACGTCGGTAGTTTGAAAAGTAACTAATGAAGCCAGTTTTAAAGATAGATATATACATCTCTGTATATAATAATTGGAAAATAATAAAAGTTTTAGGCTAAAATTTTGAATCAAAAATATTATTTAACTTTTTATGTTTAAAATATTTATCCACTTTTCAAGCTAAATAAATTGGCTAGTTCATACTCTCTCTTATTCAATATATCTAAAAATCTGTAAAT